TTAATCTCTTCCTCTTCTTCTATTGCTCTGTTTTGCCCCCTTTTAAATGTTCCCTCCTGAGCATAAAATTGACATATTGAGGGCATATTTACTGTATACAGTTTTCTGATTTGTTTTTAGATTTTGTTATATTACCACATCTATAGCTCACAGGTTAGAGGTGGTAAGTTAATCAGTAACAATATAAAAAGAAACTCACACGGAAGAGTGGTAATATAGGGAACAGAAGAAAACTTCACCAAACTCTAATTACTAGTCTCAGAGCGACAAGTAAAGGATTGCACAAATAAGAAAAGTAAGCAACAAAAAGAGTACTCAGAAAAGAAGGAAGAAGTCTAAGAAATTGAAAGAATGATAGCAGAAATAAATAAGCATAGGTGTTGGGATATAAAGTTGTGAACACTTGCAGAAAGTGTAACCAGAAAAAAAGTTAATGAAACACACACACAAAAAGAAAGAATTATTTTAAGAAGCCTAACATCTAAATAATAAGACTTACAGAAACAAAGGGTAGAGACACTGAAAGGAGGAAAACATCATGTAAATAATACAAGAAAGAAATTGGGACCAAAGAACATAGGTTCTAGATTGAAAAGCCCACTGGAATACCTAGATCTGTGAATAACAAAAAGACACCAGAAGAGAAGCTTCTAGACAGAGACATAAATAAAACCCTAACGATTACATATAAGAATAGAAATCCAATTGACATGAGATATCTCTGGGTAATACCAGCAGTGAGAAGACAATGAAGCCATACCTTTAAAATACTAAGATGATATAATTTCCAACTGAGTGATTCTATCTAGGCAAATTATTAATCAAATGTGCAGGTGGAATATGGAGTCCGGATGAGAAGTCTCAATTATTTTACCTCCCACACATCTTTCTGAGAAAGCTATTATGCATATGTTCCTCAAAACTACAGAATAAACAAGAAAGGGTAAATAGAATCTTTGCTTAAGCCCAGAATGCCCTCTGGTTCTGATTGGAGGAGGACAGAAGGTTCTAGAAGATAGAGCTTCATGAAATTAAAAACACGCCAACAGAAATGATAGTATTTGATCTGCAATGAGTTTTAATACTTTTGTCAAGAAGTTGAGGAATGAATTAGTGTTACACAAAACATAAAGTACACAAATAAGAGGCAATAATGACTCCAGAATTGACAACCAAGAAATTGACATGAAAGGAATTAATTGTAATAAATCCTACAGCTTAGCTGCGAGCAGTAATTTATCTGGTTATAATAATGTAGGTTCTGGTGTTGACATAATAAAAAACGATGTGACTATATTGGGAGGATGTAGGGAAAAGTATCATATATATATGTGGTAAAAGAGCTAAAGTCTTACTTTCTTTAGGAAGTCAAAGAATAGTTTCTAGCATTGAAAAAAAGCCATATTAGTATGCTATTCATATATACTGAGAGAACTCTGGAAACAGGTAAAAGATCTGAATTTTTTTGCCTTCAGGCAGTAGAAATTAAGGACAGGAAGGGGCAGATAGGGCCTGTTCTCCCTGTAAGCCCTGCAGTGCTCCTGGACTTAAAACAATCATGTGTGTATTGCTTTGATTAAAAGGGGGCTCAGTGGTGCCCGTGTATCCAGAGTGGTACCTAGAACAGGGCCACATGAACACTGAAGGACTGCTGTGGGGGGTTCTTTACCACACAGTCAAGGAGCAGGCCACTGTCCTTGGGCCTCTTCCACATGGCAGTGGGAGAAGAGCTTCCCTTTGCTGGCTCTCTGAAAATCATTTCTCCTGTCAGAAACCATTTCTCCTCCGACCGTCTCCTTTATTCAGTGTTTGACTCAAATTTAATTTCAGCTCTTGATGGAGATCTGGCCTAGCTTCATCCTGACACTCAGAGAATGAGGGCATTTGGGGTGGGGGCGCTTTGCAGCTCTGGGCCTGGGCTATTTCTAAAGCTCTTGTCACCTCATCTGAAAAGGCAGAAAACGCTTCTTGCCTCAGAGGATTGTGTGACCAATAAATAATTTAGTACACATGCACCTAGTAAATGGTAATTGCTAAAATAAATTAAAGTAAAACAAATATCCTTATATTTGTTTGTGAACATCTGTAGTTCACACATGGTTGAAGACAGGAGCCCCATGTTGAACCCAGGCCTCACTGAGGAAACTTCAAGAAGGAGCATGAGCCTGGCTGGGGAGGGAAGAGGAGGGTGGGAATGAATAATGTGCAATATACAAGGATCTATGAAAGCTCTTAGCTAATTTACTTCTACTTCCAAACACAGAAATTGCTCACCTCACATCAAGTGGAATAATGCGTGCAGCGCTAAATAAGGCTATCTTTTACCCTGAGGCGCCCACGTGCCTGGTCGTGATGGCTCTTTGAAGCAAGGGACCTGGCCTAGTGTCTCGCTCCTGGGAGAGGCTGATTCACTCACTGTCTGACTCAATCAGAGCCTGTGAGCTCGGCCCGGCTTGCGGGGTTGAGCTGTGAAGTTCTTAGGGTGTACAAGCAGGATTCAAGGTTTGAACTTCTTGGGTCATTTGGTTCTTGGGGTGCTTTCTGAATACTGGTTCAGGGCTACGATCAGTGTCTCATACCCTAGGCGCCTGACAGACACTTTGCTTGAGGCAGGAGGAGGGTGTTGGTGAGGCCCTGGCAGCTGCTTATTTAGCTACTCTCTTTCTTAGAGCCGTCTTCTCTGTCTTCTGGGTCTGAAGAGGGAGGGAAGAAGATCTGCGGAGCCACTGCCAGAGCAGAGGGGGACGGAGAGACGGACTAAGCAGAGAATAGGCCCTGAGCGCAAAGCAAGAGTTGGGTTTGACCTTGGCTGCTGGGCCTGGGAGAAAAGCAGGAGACCAAACCTGTGTGTGAAGCCCAGTGACCCCTGTGAGACTGGGAGGAAGGTCATGGGAGCTGGTGGACACAGACTGGACGAAGTGGGAGGTGTGTGAAGACTGCAGCGAGGTTTAAGTGTATGGGGGCTTGGGGACAAGGGGCGTGCAAGGGGGACTTTGATCAGCTGAATGTGGAGCAGGGTTATAGGAGTTTGCATAATCTACTTGACAGAACAAAGCTTAGATGAGATTGGGTGCGTTCAGGGTGGTATGGCCGTAGACCAAAAAACAAAGACTTTAGACTTTAGAAAACTCATGTAGCTGTAGCATAAGCAATCCAGGATGGTCCTAGCTGGTAACCACATCTATCCAAATCTCAGGCATGAACTTGAGAAATCCCTACCTGACTGCCCTCCTGTCCCCACAGTGACTCTGCCTCCTGGCGTTTTGTTGACATTAATTATAGACAGCTGCAAAGTGCACAAGGCCTCAAGCAACTTTTTCTTTTTCCGCTTCACCTGATGCCTTTGCTGTTTGCTCTGTTCTGCCCAGAGTCGCTGGAAGCCTTGGCATTTCCACCCCTCAGTGGCGCTGTCAGCTTCAGTTTGAAGCTCACTCATTCCTGTCAGGCCCTGCCCTCTCAAGGGGTGACCCTTGTTTCTCTGACTTAAACCCTTTCTTGTACCTGGACACCACACCCTTGTGAATCTGCCACGCCTCTGTCCCCTGGTGGCTTGCTTTCTTTTTCTTCTCTGCCACTTCTTACACACCTTCGCTGCACACCTTGACGAGGGATGCACATTCTTGCCTTGTGGATCTTATTTGAGACTGCGGTTAAGTACGGAAAATGTCTGTTAGCCTTAAAAATTGACAAGGCAGGTGCCTTGAGCTCCACATTCATCTCCACTCGAAATGTCACACTGGTGAGCAAGGGTGTGGGCGTGGGAAGTCAGGAATGTGCACATTTCTCCGTTTGTGGCAGGCATTTCTATGCTACAGTGGTCCTGGAGGCAGCCTGCCCGGGGCTGTTCACAAACCTGAGAAATCCGGAAGCTCTGTGACACAGAAATTGGATTTCTTTTTCTTTTACATTTTTTTTTTTTCAGAAATTTGATTTCTAAGACCGTGTTTTCAGGAAGTAATTAAGGGTTTTCCCCAAAGACATAGTTTCAAACGCTGTTTTCCAATTAGCATAAAGGAGTTGGAGCAGACTTGGATGTCAGCCTTTAGGGGTTGGGTACAATGTATTGGGCAGCTGTTGAGGGGACCTTTCCATCCGCGGACTGTAGGGCACCCAAGGCACATACATGTTAGGCAACCATTAAAATAAACCCGCAGAATACTTAATGACTTGCGCTAAGCCATGCCTTGCCTTTCCTCATCTTTATTTTTAAAAAATCTATCAAAAAAAAAATCTAGGCAACAAAAACCAAAACAAAGCACTCAAGGAGTTTATTACCTTTGGTTATCTTGGGTAGAGCAAGAATGAATAACTTTTGCCCTTCTGTTGACTTAATTATTTTCGATAGAACATCATAGGTTTCTTTGGCACAGTTACTTTGTTTGGTGCTGATGACCGAACTCGGGATCTTGCACTTGCGAGGCAGGTGGCGGAACCACTAAGCTAAATCCCCAGCCCTGGCACAGTTACTTTTAAAAGACGTGCTTTCTACGAAGACATCTAATCATCAAAATAATATATAGACTGAAAATCTAGGCTCAGGTAAAAGTGCTTCCAAAGTGAATGCGAAATTGCACTCACATTTGTAAAAGCATCAACAGCGTACTCCAGGTCAGAGGCAGACTGTGAGCAAGTCTGATGTGTTTGTTGATTGAAATCAACACATCTGCAAGTCTTGTGGGAACGCAAGACGTGGGCTGGAGATGTGCAGTTTTCTTACCTTGCTTTTTAAAAATACTAACGTGGAGTGGCGTCAGGGTCCAGTGGCTCCTGAGCGCATTGCTTCACCTAACCGGCCACTCACTGAGACAGTTCAGCTCCAGAAGGAGTGGGTATCGGTGGACACGGCCACTTTGGGCCCTGCGAGGAGGCTGGTTCCTCCTGGAGGGAAAGGCCGCGAATCTGACAAGGGCTCCGTCGTGGCTGGAGTGACCCTGGCTGGGAGGAGCAAAGGAGGGAGGAGCAAGGTTGCTTACCCTCTTGCGTGTATTAACATATGTGCTTGTGGTGTTCAGCCCCAAACTTTGCTCTTGTTTCTTCCTCCTGCAGTTGGGGGTAGAGCCAGTTGTGCAGATCTCTGCAGCGAGCAGCCCATTGAAGAGCCACCAGTGTCTGGGAGTCCCGCCGAAATGAGCTCGCTCTCCTGAGCCTGTCCCAAGCCAAGTCCATCCACCAGGTCTCATCACATCGCTGAGGTAAGACCCTGTGACTCCCAGCTAAGGGAAAGAGAGAACAGAATGCCTCTGGGGGTGGAGGTGGTGGAGGGGATGATGAAAACTTCCTCTGAGGCTCAGCAAAGAAGAAGCAGTTGTTTATGATTCCACCAGACCATCTGCTTCCCTTTAGCCCATTGGGAGGTGGGGTCACTCGGTGGCCAAACAAGCTTTTATTTGACAGAGCAGGTATTTTGAAATCTTGATAAGGAATTGTATTTTCTCAATTGCTGATGAAATCTGAACTCCACAGGGAATGAATTTATCCTCCAGGTAAGACAACACAGATTCAGATGAATGCTTACATACACCTTCTCTGTTCTGCAAGAGCAGTTGAGCTCTTAGGAAACAGGCACACATGCGCATGCACACACACCAATCCAAGGGAGACAGAGTAACAGAAAAATTTCAGGGAAGTTATTGCAAAACATTCCAGTAAGCTCACTAAAAATGCTTTTAATTACCTAGATATGTCCTGATTATAAAGGAAATGCATTCTCCTAAGACATTTGGAAAAACACCCGTGTGAAAGAAAATAAAAACATTTCTGCAATCTTACTCCTATTGGGTAGTTTTCCTCATGGTTACACTTCACCTTCTACAGGATGTTGATCGTTCTTACCGGAAGGTGGAGAAGTGCAGCAGAGAGACGCTCAAGGAGGGCCCAGGAGATCTTGCTTCTAGTCTGGAAAATCTCCAGGGCCAATTTTTAAATATCCAGGAATTTTGTTGAGAAACCATTGGCAGCTTAAAAGTGACCATTGTGGGAAAATGCATGCCATGGAAATGAACAGATATACAAGCCAGGGCCTTTCTGGTTTGGAGATTCAGGTCATGTCAGAACACCACAGGTTCTAGCACCTGTACCATCCACACGCTGTGTGGCCCTGGGCGATCGCTTCGCTGGCACGATGTGTCCCTTGGCTTCCTTTCCGGTGCACCATGGACGCTCAACAAACTTTAGCTGAATGAATAAATGGGAGTGAGATTTCCATCCTTATTATCTCATAAGACAGCAGTGAGAGTCCCTTGAGAAAGAGAAAGTGTCTTGTACTCCGTGAGGCTCCCCGCCCTTGCAGGGGGTTTAGCTGATTGGAAGACCTTTAATTTATCAATGGGGAGAAGTTGGCTGTGCCCCCCCCCACCTTTTGGCTCTTGCTCCCTGGCAGGTCTCTGAGTTTTTGACATCCTTTCATAAAGGCAGGTGAAAACCCTCCATTTGCTGACCAACATCTGGGGCACATTTCCTTCCTGGAAAAAGTCAAGAAGTTGGTCAGAGATGTGTGAAAAGGAGGCCTCAGCAGTACTGGATGTGAGAGCCAGGACTGCAATCAGCTTTTGACTCACAATCTCTACTGGGGTGGGGGTTGTGAGGGGGAACTTCCTGCCAAATGTGAAATTTCAACAAAAGCTTCTTTCTTCAAGTTCCTGGTGTTGAAGCAGATTAGAGCTAATTAAATAAGCATAATGGAGTCCCAGCCTCAGCCCTCTTCTTTCTACTTTCCGAATCTCTTGCTTTCCTCTCTGCACCTCCTGCCTATTTCCTCAAAGAGAGGGGACGAGCAGAGGGTGGGACAGTTTATCTTTGTAGAATTGTGGGTTCAGAAAATAGTAAAAGTGGAAAGAGCTATAGAGGTCAGCTGGTCCCCCACCCTCATTTTAAGACACCAAATCACGCAGCAACTGGGGGTGGACCATGCCTGTGCTGGAAATAGGTTTCACCCTGGTAAGGAAGGAAGCACAGGCGGAGCCTTTGTATCCACCTGGCAAGGGGATGTGGAGGATAATCCTGTGCTACCCTGGCTCTGCTCTTCCCAGGTCTTCTGCCGTATCTGCTGCACTTCAGGGCCCTCTAGTTTTCTTGGAATTAAGTGCTCTTGCTCATCTGGGTCTTAGTTTTCCAGCTCAGGGAAGCCAGCTTAAGGAGATCTTATTCGGAGGACCTTTGAGTGTGTTCATGAGGAAGGGAAGGCATGGGCAGGACACTGAGCTCATGTTGGTTCCAGGGCATGAGTTCTATGCTGTCCATATTGTCCCTTTCAATTCTGCAACAGTCTAAAAGGTATCCATCCTCCTGTCTCAGACAGGAGTTGAGTCTCGGGTACAGACTCCCTCAAGATTTTGTTACTCATAAGCAACAGAGATGTCAGCTAGGTCTGTTTGTGACCTCTTCAGCTTCTCAGAGCTAGGGAGGGCTCTTCACGGCCAGTAGTCACCCTTGGAGGAGTTCCAAGTCCTGTTCCAGTGGTCAGCGTGCATTCCCTCGGGGAACTTCATTCTGTCTCCAAAGCCATGTGAACAGCTGTGGTCTACAGCGATTGGAGTTTCGCAGAATGCTGCTCTGTTCTTCCAGATCCTGAGGGCTGTCTTCTCTGTTGTGTAAGACTGTGCTGGAGCTGACAGCACCCACGGAGCTTATAGCAGGTCCCCTTGCTCAGGTGACATTCCAGCAGCTGTGTTTCTGGGCCCTGCGTTTCTACTCAGTGAGAAGCAGGTGGCCTCTCCACCTTAGAGCTCTGAGCACTTTCCCTGGGAACACACAAAGAGTTATGTTACCTTTTTCTCTATGGCTGGGGAAGAGGTTATGCCTAGGACAAGAAAGATTTAATTCACTTCATCAGGTATTTACTGAGTGCCTACTGTGTGCCCAGCTGAATATACCAGCCTGTTTGAGCAAGAAATTCTCACTTAGCCTTGGGCATATAGATCTGACAAGGGACAAGGGTAGGAGCTTCTCCGGACCAAGACTGTGTAGCACATCCATTCTCCTTCCCTTTCCTGTGTCTTCCTACTGTCTCCCGTGACCACGCACCTCCCATGTGTTCTACAAGAACCTGCAAGAAAGAAATTGTCTCAGGTTGCTCTGCAATCTTGAGTTGGGACCCGAGGTTCCCAGATTCCTGAACACAGCCTTTTTAACGTTTAGCCAGTGAAGTGGAAGACAGCAGCACGTGGGCAGGGTCTTTGGATCGGACTGAGGGGGAGGAGGCCCAGGGAGCAGCCTGGGAAGGTTGCCGCTCTGGAGGTGGGTGCTGGGCTCTGTGGCAAGGGCCGATGGGATCACCAAGCGTGCTGGCCTCACAGATAATCACGAACCCTTTTCATCCAAGACATATGATCAGTTTCAGAGGGAGGACAGGCTCAGTGCTGCAGAGCACTGTGAGCTGAGAGTCCCTCGGAGGCCTCCACCTCTTACCATAGAAGAGGTGGAAGCCCAGAAAGGAGACTGGGCTTGGGGAACTGGAATCTGACCCCCTGGCTGCTCAGGGTCTGTCTGCCAGACCATTCTGGCTGAAGGGGAAAGGTTGCCTGGGCATCAGCGCAGCCATTTCCTATCTCAGCCTGCCTGCCTGCTGGTGGGCTGTTTTGCGTGTGTGTGTGTGTGTGTGTGTGTGTGTGTGTGTGTGTGTGTGTGCGCGCGCACGCGCGCACGCACTGGAGACAACACGAACATCATGTTAGGGATCTGGGAATCTTCTGTAGCCCTGACCTTTTGTCCTCCTCAGGGGATTGCTTAGGCCAGGGAGCCATCACCCGTGGCTGCAAGCTGGGAGTTTGCCATTGTGGGAGGCATCGCAGTTCAGACAAAAGCGCCCTGGCTTGAAAGGGGTTTGACTCCACTTTAAGCCTGACTTGGCCACAGCTGCAGGACCACCTAGGCCAGTGATGGCGGCGAGTCTTTTAGAGCTTTCAGTGATACAGATGTTGTGTTGCAGTATTTGTGCCATAGGTTTACCACCGCTGAGTCCTAGGCTCTCTGACCCAGATTCCTCATCTGTAAGATGGGCTCAATACTGCCTACCTGGAGCGAAGGTGAATAATAATTTATATTTTTCCTTACGAAATAGTTGCTCATGAAATGGTACCCATTAGTGTTCTTCTTGTACCTTTACTGAGATGTAACTGACAGGCAAAAACTTGTGTATATTTATTTGGTGCAACTTGCTGACTTTTGACATAGGCATGTATACACTCATGGATCTCTTCCTACAGTCACATTAATGAGCCTAATTGTCCCTCTGTCAACTTCCTCCGGTCTTATCCCTCCCTCCTGTTCCTTTGTTTCCTTCCTTTCACCTCAGCAACCGCTGATCTACTTCCTATCAGTGTACATCCGTGCATATTTCCTAGAACTTTTTGTAAGTGGAATTATGCAGCACATACTCTTCTCTCACTCAACATAATTTTGGGGGGCTGATTTTGATTAATTTCCTTTTTTATCTTCGCATGGCATCTCACTGTAGTAGTTCTTCTTTTAAGAAAATAAAGTTATTTAATTTTATCCCATCCCCCTGCCCTATTTACAAAAGCTTTGTTTCTGTTTTTCCTCCTATTTCCCTTTTTCTCTTGTCCCTCCCTTCCTTTCTCCTTTCCTCCTCCCACATTCCTCTTCCCATTTGAACACTTTCTTCCCAGTTCCTAACATCCATTATACATCTTAGTTGTTATTTCCACATTGTTCCTCTGGTAGTATTTGAACATGTGTGTCCAATTTATTTCGCTTAGGAGTATGGTCTCAAGGTCCGTGCATTTAGATATAAATGTCCGAAGCTCATCCTTCTTTATGGCAGAGTGGTATTCCATTATGTTAAAAACCCACATCCTCTTTATCCACTCATCAGTTGACGGGCATTTGGGCTGTTTTCAAGAGTCAGCTATTACAAGCTGTGCTACTATAAACATAGGTGTGTATATATCGCAGTGGTATGATGCTTTTGATTCTTTCAGGAAGATACAAGAAGAGGTACAGCTGGGTCAAATGGAACCTTTCTTTACTTTTAGTTTTTTGAGAAATCTCCATACTGATTTCCACATTGGTTGCACCAGTCTACACTCACACCAGCAGTGGAGAAGGGTTCTCTTTTTCCCACTGCCCCACCAGCATTTGTTATTGGTTGATTTCTTGATAGCAGCCATTTTTTCTGGAGTGAGATGAAATTTCAGTATTGTGTTAATTTGCATCTCTAGAATGACCAGTGATG